TGGTTTGTAGTATACAGGGAAGTTCACTCCACGTATTATTTTAGAAATAACTTTATTATTTTTATATTCATACAGTACTGCTTCGATTATAAGAGGACTCGGCCTCGTGATATAATATATTATAGAACTCGGTCTCGTTTCGCACGTAGAAAAAGAACTCGGTCTTATTATGTGTTATTCTATTCGCTGTGTTTCGATATCTGAACGGACTCTTCGAACGGTGATCCCTTTTATAGGAAAATCCGTCAGTGATCGCCTACCAATCAGAATGGTCGACGTCGCAAATTGGGCGGGTAATACAATATTTGTCGATGAGACAGAAAGAAGGCACCGATCGCGGCGCCAGTCTGTCGCCTCACGTTTCGCGTCGGCGATAGATAATATATATATATGTATATATGCGTGTACATAAATGCGTAGTGGTACCACTAATGTGTACGCGACATATTCCCCCCGTTGAGAGGATAACGATCAATTACATTTGGCTAACTACCTGCTTACGGCAGGATTGCTCGTAGATCGTGCTTATATTATATTGCAATTATAGTGTCATAGATTGATAGGAAGTGGACATAGACACTTCACTGAACGCTTCAGCATTCCAGGACGAGTCTTGATAGTCACGGTTCGTGGGATTCCATCTTCACCGGGATGAATTTCTGTGACCTTGCCCAGAGCCCATTGCAGACAAGGGAATCCTTTGTCCTTTACAAGCACAATCATTCCGATGGTGATTTTTTCTCCATTTTTGATCCACTTGTGTCGAACTTGTAGCTCGTTGAGGTATTCTAAATGCCATCGTGACCAGAAATCTTGTCGCACCTTTTGGATGTGTTGCCAGGTAGATAGGCGATTTGCTGGGACAGATGAGAGATCGAGCTCAGGTAGATTATTCAACGGCTTACCGATCAAAAAATGCGCAGGTGTAAGGGCGGAGAGGTCATTAGGATCGGAGGAAAGAGCGGATATAGGTCGCGAGTTTAATATACCTTCGATTTCTATGGTGAAGGTATTAAATTCTTCTAAGGTGAATAAAGTGTCTCCGACTACGCGCTTAAAATGGTGTTTGAATATTTTTACCGTGGATTCCCATAGTCCACCGAAATGTGGAGTAACGGGTGGTATGAAATGCCACGTGACGCGGTGTTCTAACGAAAATTGATTAATTTTATTTTTATGTTTTTCAGAATTAAAAAGACGGTATAATTCCTTCAACTCATTGTTAGCTCCAACAAAGTTGGTCCCGTTATCAGAGTGTATATGAGTCGGAACGCCGCGTCTTGACACAAAACGTCGCAAAGCGGCAAGGAATCCGTCGGTGGTGAGATCGCTCACCACTTCCAGGTGGACGGCCTTTACTACCATACATATGAAGACGCATACGTATGTCTTGACTCGATTCCGGTTTCTATGTTTTTTCTCTTTGACGTAGAAAGGTCCGCAGAAATCTATACCGGTATTCGCGAATGGAAACGCTTCACGCACTCGATTCTTCGGCAAGTCGCCCATTTTATAGTTGACGGTGTCTGTATTAAATCGAAAACAACGTATACACGATTTTATGATTTTGCGGACCTGGTTACGTCCATCGAGCAGCCAAAACCTTTGCCGAATCATGTACAGTGTCGTTTGAATGCCGGTATGATAATACCTTTCGTGCGTCTCTCTAATAATGAGATCAGTGAGGAAATGGCGACTCGGTATTAAAATTGGATGTTTTTGTGCGTACGCCAATCTAGACCTACTCAACCTTCCGCCGACGCGAATTATGCCATTTTCGTCAATGAATGGACTCAAAGCGGCGATATTGGTTTTATTTACCGACCGCCCGCGTTTCAATTCTTTTAATTCGCGCGAGAAGCTATGAGTTTGGATGATTTTTATTATTTTGATTTCTGCTTCTTCTAACTCGTTTATATGTAATTGTCCACGGTACGTGTTCCTCGGATGAAAACGCAGGCACCACGCCACAATATGCAGCAGTTTCGAGTATGATGAATATCTCTGTAAGATACTATAATCAACGACGTCGGTTGTCAAACAAATGTTTTTTCTAAGTTCCGGTATTTCGTTTAATTCTATTATGTTATTAGGCCACTCGTTTTCACATTTCTTTAGCCAAAACGGCCCCGAGAACCAAGAATGATTATTTAAAAAGTCCTTTGGTAGCTGACCTCTGGATAACGCATCGGCTGGATTATCCTTTGTCCTAACATGTCGCCAAATTTGTGGCTGTGTGATTTCCTGTATTTGCGCGACTCGATGGGATACATAAGGTTTTAAAAGATGCGTTGAAGTCCTCAACCAATTTAGTACTATAGTCGAATCGCACCACATAACTATTTTGCTGAAGTCTAATTTTATCACGCGACGAACCTCATTGTATAATTTGGATAAAAGAAGTGCACCGCATAACTCGAGACGCGGTATCGTTACGGTTTTTAGCGGCGCGACCCGCGATTTAGCACATAGAAGATAACAATGCGTGTTATATCCATCGTTCGAGCGAATGTATAAGCAGGCGCCGTAGCCTGTATTGCTCGCGTCGCAAAATCCGTGGATCTGAACGTCAATATAGTTATGAATTAATATCTGACGATTAATAGATAACTTGTTAATAGAATCTAATTGTGCCGCGAATTCGACCCATGCGCAATGTATGCTGGTGGGGATGGATTCGTCCCACTTTACCTTGCATCGCCATAAATCCTGCATTAGTTTTTTGGCATATAAGATAACTGGCCCTAAAATGCCTAAAGGATCGAATATTCTGGCAATTTCTGATATGACGGTTCGTTTCGTGATCCGTCTGGTGCGATCGATAGAACGGACCGAGTAAGTTAACATGTCATTGCTTGCGGACCACGATATACCTAACGTTTTTAAAGCACCAGCCTTGTCAATTACAAGATTGGAATTCACGGCGTCAAGACTTAGATCCTCGATAACGCGTTTCTCGTTTGAGGCCCATTGTCGGATGTTGAAGCCGCCGCGAGATAATAGCGTAATTAACTTATTTCGCAGCGAACGCGCTTCCTCGATAGTTCTTGCTCCGGTCAATAAGTCGTCAACGTAAAGATGATTTTTAAGGACTTCCGCGGCATTAGGAAACTCGTCGCGTTCATCATCGGCGAGTTTTTGAATGGTGCGTATCGCGAGATAAGATAATGAAGACACGCCGAAAGTGAGCGTGTTAAGCTGGAAAGTCTTAATTTGACCGTCCTGACGCCAAAGCACACGTTGGTATATTCGATCGTCTTGATGTAGCAATATCTGCCGATACATTTTTTCTATATCGGCAGACAACACGTATCTATACATACGAAAACGAATTAAATGTATAAATAACTGATCTTGGATAGTGGGTCCCACTAACAACAAGTCGTTTAGAGAGGGACCGTTGCTTGTTTTCGCTGACGCATCGACGCACCACGCGGACCTTGGTCGTGTTACTCGAATTCTTAATCACTGCGTGATGCGGCATGTAAAACCCGTCGTCAAGTGGCTCATCGATTGGAGACATGTGCTTTAGATCTAAATACTCTTGTATTACTTGTGAATATGTTGTTTTTAAATGTGAATCCGAGTTGAGTTTACGTTCGAGAGATTGCAGGCGTTTAAGAGCGGCAGTACGTGATTCATCTATCGAGTCGTCTATCATCTTTACGGAATGGTAATCGTACCATGTATCGACCATCGTTACAACGCGTAACATTGTTTGTAAAATGTGTTTCGCAATCAATTTCTTCGATGGATTTTGGTGTGCCATTTATTGTTTCTTCAATCGTCCAAAAATTAGCGATTTGCCTTTCTAAGTTAGTTAACGAGCACGCGGCGAACTTCGGACGACTCGGCGAAGCACCGCCCCCCGCAATTATCCAACCTAATCGCGTTTTCTGCAAAAATAGATCGAAGCCGTCTCGAGATAAATTGATTTGACCTATTGAAAATAAAGATAATGTCGGCCCGGAACCGATTAATATATCCACGGGGTGCGGCACGTGAAATTCTGGATCTGCTAATGGTATGTTGTGCGGTATTTTGATAGTTTCTCGAGGAAAATATTCTGATGGAACTGAATCTAAAATAATTGGAATCAATAGACACGTTAAATCTTTACAGAATTCGCTGTTTGATGACCGGATGGTGATTCGAATAACGCCCTTCGACAATGTATTCATAGAATTAATTGCACCGATTGGGAATGAGCACGCGGTTATCGGGTTTCCTAAACGTTTTGCAAAATTTTCAGAAATGAAACTCGCGGTAGCGCATGTGTCCATTAACGCGCGACATTTAATCCAATTCAATTCGCGATTCTGTACGAGCACCATCGCTGTGGTCATTAACTGCGGCGTGAAAGATGGTGAGGTCGTTGTGAGACACATGGCGCCGGCGCAAATTTCCTGTTGTAGTCATGAAGTCTTATCCGTTTTTGAATCCGCCGTGTTGACCTTTGTGAGACACATGGCGCCGGCCCTAATTTCCTGTTGCAGTCATGAAGTCTTATCCGTTTTTTAATCCGCCGTGTTGACTCCCATCGCGGCGGACGAATATTTGTCGAGGTGTAAAAGCGTGTTGTGACGTTTCTGACAAATCGTGCAATTCGCGTAATTGCAAGGCTTGCCCCTATGCGAACGCATGCAGTTATAGCAAAGCCTGGCGTTCCTTACGAGTTCAATACGTTTGGAAGCATCCAATTGTTTAAATTTCTCACACTTATATAAAGGATGTTGTTTGTTTTTACATGCTATGCAACTATTCACTGCATTACTTATGAAGGCCTTGTTAGTTATGCGCGGTTTTTTTGCTGAGGATGGATTCTTGTCATCGAGTCTAACAGTTTCTGAGCGAACACGCTTAGATACGTGAACCGCAGTCCGACATAAAAACTCGTACAGCTCGTCGATCTTCGGAAACTCGTCGCGTCCGAGCGTTTCCTCCCACTTTTCGGCTGTATTTTTAGGTAATTTGCTCTCGATTATGTTAACGAGTATCTCAGATCCCACGTCGACTCCCAAAGCGTTCAAGGAAGCGACGTGCTGCTGTGCGTCGTCGGTGAACTTAGATAATCCCTCAGTAGTTTCCTTTTCTAATATTGGTAGATTTCTCAACAATGAGAGGTGACGTGAGATCAAGATACGATTTACCTGGTACGCGCGTTTCAATAGTTCCCAAGCCTTGGAATAATTCGCGTTTTCGATCGTTAATATTTTAATTTTGTTAGCCGCCTCGCCGGTTAATGCTGATTGTAAATACTGTAATTTTTCGATATCCGATAAATCCGCGCGCGTATCTATCATGGCAATAAAGGCATTCCTGAACGACAACCAATTCTCATATCGCCCGTCGAAAGCAGGCAACGATACTTCAGGCAGCTTTATTTTGCGTTTCATAACCGTGGGTACCTGGTCAACGGGGGAAGGTGTACCATTCGCCACGCTAGTGCTCGCGACGGACTCTATGGGATTCGTTATAGCCCCGATTCTGGCTGCGAGTGAATAAAATCTATCCTGTACATTTGTGAATTCGACTTTATGATTTTCGTTCGGATCTAATATTAGCAACTCGTCGTTGTAATCCTCATATGCATGGTAAAGCTGAGTTACGCGTGACATGCGCAATTCTAATGCGGTCTTATCGTAATGGCCATGTTGATCCTTCTCGATTAAATTTGTTAAATTAGTAATTTGTGATTTTAAAGAAGTTCGCTTCTGAATAAGAAGTTTAATTCTCTCGGTCATGATGCCGTTATGAAAAGGTGAAGGATAGAGGAATGGCGCGACCAGTAACTTGTTAGTTTTGAATAATGTACTCGCCGTTAGCTCGTGTTCTGTTGTATGATCTGCTCGATCCTATTTCGTTATCCAGTTTTAATCGTGAATCCAGATTCATCTATCTCCTGAGGCCTCGTCGGGTTGTGGTTGAATGGAATCCAATGGCTGGCGGAATATCGTTGTTCTGAGTGTCGCCGTCGTCCGCGTTCGCCTCGCGAACGACCTCACAGGAGGCACCAATGGTTTGTAGTATACAGGGAAGTTCACTCCACGTATTATTTTAGAAATAACTTTATTATTTTTATATTCATACAGTACTGCTTCGATTATAAGAGGACTCGGCCTCGTGATATAATATATTATAGAACTCGGTCTCGTTTCGCACGTAGAAAAAGAACTCGGTCTTATTATGTGTTATTCTATGCGCTGTGTTTCGATATCTGAACGGACCCTTCGAACGGTGATTCCTTTTATAGGAAAATCCGTCAGTGATCGCCTACCAATCAGAATGGTCGACGTCGCAAATTGGGCGGGTAATACAATATTTGTCGATGAGACAGAAAGAAGGCACCGATCGCGGCGCCAGTCTGTCGCCTCACGTTTCGCGTCGGAGATAGATAATATATATATGTATATATGCGTGTACATAAATGCGTAGTGGTACCACTAATGTGTACGCGACAATCTTGATGAGGAAATATACATTAACATTGATAGCGTACAAGTTCCTGAACATTGGAATCGTCGTGGGGCCTACGTCTCACGTACAAATTGAGATCGGTGACAATCGAGGCAACCGCATGATCCTGCCTCATGGTACATAGAAGGCGTTC